TCACGGGCTTAGCAACTCAAAACGGCCAAAAATGTCAGATGGAACTTTGTCATTCTAAAATAGCGACATATTTGAAGACCTGAGAACAACACCAAGGTCAAGTCACATTTGGACGATAATTTGAGAAAGTAAGTAGGGAAACATACAAGTAAGTTCAGGTAAGAGGGCTAAAATAGACTTTTTTTATACTTGACTTTGTTGTTGCTTTTTTTAGTAAGAATATCGGGCCGTAGGAACGAAATACGGCTTCATCGGTGCAATAAATAGAGAGCCCTTTGTCGCTGCTTTCGAAAGATAATAATAAGCAGAGCTCTCATTTTATGGAAATGTGACTTAACCTTGTTGTTATCATATCTTCATTTACATCCTAGCTATTCACTCTTTCTGTATCATCATCCGGTGCCTTGCCACTGACATGGGTGATCATGGACCTCCACTTCACTGTGCCTTGTGTTACTGAGATGGTGTCTGTCGTTCATGCTGTTCCAAGCCATGTTGTCAACTTGTCCAGTATCTTTTCCCTCTGTCTGCTGCCACTCTTTCTATCAAACTTGCCTGTTCTTACAATATTATTATTCTCCAATGCTTCTTTCAGCATTGGGTGTCCAATGAACTGCGCCTGTCGCTTTCGATTATTCGTCATGAGCTGACGTCTGCAATTCGCTTCAACCAAGACTTCTTCATTTGTTTTTCCAGCTGCCCATGGGATACACAGCATGCGTCTTATGAGCCACAACCCTGCATCTTCAATTGTTCTTTCTAGCTGTCTATTGATTGTCCGTGCTTCTGTACTTCTGTATAATTTGTATAAAACAGAACCAGGGTTCCCCGAAAGACGAGGAGGCAAGACCTGTGTCTCACGAAGACCTGCCCAGCGCGGAGTTCCCCAAAGATCGTCTGCAGCTCCAACTGCTCCTTGGTGAGGGACGGTTTGGCCGTGTGCACCTGGCACAGGCTCTCAGCATCACCGGCTCCGGCTCCTGGGAGACTGTGGCCGTCAAGCTCTGTAAAGGTACTCCCCTCCGCCAGCAGGTGATCTACTAAGCCTAAGAATTGCGTATGTTTTCTTTAAATTGCAAGATTGTTTGTTTTTTTTACTTGATCTGTGGTCAAATGAAATACTATTACTATGTCGAAATTACATGTCAAACTGTTGAAGAAAAAAAAAGAAAAACAAGGAACCATACATGATGTTGTTACAAGTGCTAAACAAATTATACAGTTTTTATTCTCTCTCCTGTAATTTTTTTCTTTCTGGGCTCAGGACATTAGAACAATTTGTCGCCGTACTGTGTATGTGGTGTGACTTCGTTTATGTAAGACACACCCTCCCTCTACTCCTACCACACCTTCCAACTTCTCTTCTCTCTTCCCACCACCCTCATCCGTCCTTACACTCAATGCATTCTTTTTCTTCTTTAGAAAGCTGTTAACGATCTTAATAATACTAATTCTTGCATAAAAACTGTTATTAATTTCTCTATTAGATAGTCATTTCTCGATTTCTTCTATGGAAAGCCTTTAACAATATCTATAGACAGATAGTCATTTCCAATTTTTTCCTTTATAGAAAGCAGTTAACCTACAGATAGATAATAATCATTTCCACATTTCCTGGAGCTGTTGATGATTAATGTCTCTCTAGACAGACATACATTTCTCTATTCCCCTCGCAGAGAGCGCCACGGACAACGAGAAGACAGATTTCCTGAGCGAGCTGGTGGTTGTCTCCAGGATCCCCAAACACATGCACATCGTCCAGTTCCTGGGCTGCTGTACCATCACAGGTGAGGGAAGCTTCTGGAATTGCCAGGGGAATTGCCTCTACTGCAAAATCTCCGTTTATAACGTACATTGCTTAAAATGTACTGCAAGCTCTAATATTCACTTTCTAAAGCCCTAAATCTCGCGTACACAGCATCTTTAATCAATTTAGCTAATGCGTACTTCGGCTAAGACGTCCAAAATCTTGGGTTGTTAGGGAATAAGTTATACCGAAGTTTAACAATATATGACCGGTGTCCAAGCTCTATAGATATGCTTGGCAAGCTGGATTATTCTGGTCCCCAGTTGGCAATTACGTAATAGTTTGGGAGGGTGTGGAAATTTGCTGGGTTTGGGTAGATACTATTTAATCCACCCCCCCC